ATACGTTTGAGTCGTTGACGTGAGTACCTTCAGCCCTACGCCACGGAGCACACACACGCATTCTGCATCCGTCGGGCAGTTTCTTGCATCGATTATGTAGGCATCTTCTTCCGTTTCCTCATAAAAGACAAAGCCGTCGTCGCGGTCGAGGCGATACATCGTGTCGGTGAGCAGGGTTGTCGGGATTATGCCTGATTCGGATCCGCTGCCTGTTGGGATGCCGGTCCGAATGTGAAAGAATTCATCGGGGAGTCGAGCTCTCAGGTATGTACTATCGACGTCCCCATCGTTTGCATGAACCCTGGGATGGAATTTGATTGCTCGTTGTAAAAGAACGCCGTGAGCTGATGTTAGTGTGACGATCAACGTCCCGACGGCCACCCACCTCACCCTCTTCGAATTCATCCTGCTGCGTGCAAGAATGACGCGGAAGATGCCCGTGACGGTGCGCATCTCCCAGTTCCAATGAAGATCCTGAAGCGTTGCCCCCTCTTGTGCTGTCAGCCACCACGAAATTATCGATCCTTCAGACAGAACATGTCTCAGAAGCGTATTGACGGCAACAGCGCATACTGAGATGGCCACGTTGGGGGTAAAGCCGTTTCGCCATGGCCAAATTATGGTAGGAGAGTCGTTGGCAAGCTGGAGGACATATGTTACTGCGCCGAGGATGGCAAATACACCCGCCGCGGAAAGAAGGGAAAGCCATGGTGCACAAGAGAGGGTTTTGAGTAGCTGCGTATGCGTAGTCTTCGAGGTCGGAGGTGTAGGCGATGTAGATGTATTTGGCTCGCTGCTTGTGGTTCCATTCTCAATTGCCTGGACGTCACTGCTACCAGTAATCGTTGCACCCCCTTTCGTGACGTTTGCCATTTCAAGTGAAGCTGGGATGGACGAATGATCCCAAGCAATCTTGAAAGACGTACCAGTCCTAGGATGACGACACTCTGAGTATGTGAATGCGTAATCGAAGACGGATTATCGATGTCTTCGGCTTAGGAAAATGTTTCGCGTTGTTGATTTCGATCGTAGGTGTGATTGAATTCAAGTCGTCTGGTGTAGGGGAAGGGGTCAAGAGGGCAGATATCTAGATAGAGAGCACGAGGCTCACGACTATGACGGCACGAGACGTGTAGAAATAGATACCCGGCGTTATGTGTACGAGGAAATGATCTGGACTTGATTAGGTTGCGGTTTCTCACCTCCCTTATGAATCGACATTAACCGTGCCCTATACATATTCCAGGCTGCTCTCAGCTATGTATATGAGCCTCATTCGAATCCCAATCAAAACAGAACAGATATCTGGATCATGCATATTGAAATTTATAAGCGGTTCCTGATTGGACGAGGGAATGCAGATCGTTGAGCTTGAATTGGGCGCAACATCCAGCCGTTGATTTCAAACCGGCCCTGGCTTTTAGCTCCTTTAGGAATGTCTCCGAATGAAGAAGCAAGAGCAAAGCCAGTGAGGTGCAGCTGCAGCTCGTATTGATACCTATATGATGTTTATACAGCGAGCTAGAGATACATGTTTGCCACGTACCGTTAGTACAATTCTGGATCTGGAGTGCCAGAAAGTATGCTGTATATACTCCACGCCCCACAGACTAGCTCGCAGAAAAGTACTATGTATGAATTACATGGCATAAATTAAATGGACTACTGCAGGTACAGCTGTGCATACTGGTTTATTTGAGGATCTGGTACGTGTAGCAGTTAAATAATTTCCCCAATTGTAAGGATAAAAAGAACTCATAGTTTGATTCAATTCGAAATGCACATGCGTTTGAGTAGTTAGTTGGGCACAAAAGGTTTGTCTCGATTTTCGAATGACCAGCTCGCCACTCGGTCGACGCAAACACTTTGTACTCGAGTATGTACACAACTATTCCGTTCCGTGGCCATGGTGCCATCTCTACATTTTATTACCTATAAGCGATCTGCATGCAATTGGAGGGGTCGGGATTCATGAGCCCTAAGTTGCTAGCTACATAGCTTTTGGAGGGTGAGTCGCAATTGGAGTCAACAGTTTCTGGCCTTCAAATCGAACTTTGCTCCGTTGTCTTGTGCTGCTACCCCAAGCATGCCCCACAACACAAAACCGAGTCTTGTACACATACGCTGCCACTCTTATTGTTGCTGTTGGCGCATGCGATTGCTTGAGACTACAACGTTGTGTTCTTGTGTGACAGCGTGGCAGTTTTCCAGGCCATTCACCACAATATGAGCTATTGCTTGTGTTGAATTCGAGACCTGCAGAGATTGAGTAGATCTTCTGAGAAAAAATTTCTGAGAAATGGGTGAGGTAATAAACAAAGTCATTTAAATCGTAGAGGAGCCGCAAGATCAATGTTGTGATTATGTGCAGCTTGAAAGAGACTGTGCATATGTTCCATAGTGGGCGCCAATCACCGAGGTGTGGTGCTCGCGATTGGCTACCGGTGTATTCATATGCATGACGAAGTATGATCAACACTGCTCGTGTTGGTAGGCCATCTGCAAGATTTGTCTTGCTACGTGTACATGTGCGCTTGATTTATTTGGAATCTATACGAACATACAAATTACAAACCTATCGATCTCTCACGAATTCCGAACATCATGTATGAATTCGAACATTACTCGCGATCGCCATGAATATTAATGTATCGTATCTACGTATACTAATATAATGACCATAAACATGGAAACTACCTACCACCTTATAAAGAGCTGCTAAAGCTCATATAAACCATGGCCAAAATGAACATCAACTTGTTGATGAACATGTATATTTCGGATCTTGGGTCTTCCCACGTTGAATTGCAGGCGTTGGGAACAAGGAACATGTTATTATAAAGCTTATTCCGATGACACAAAGTAGAGTACAGTACTTATAAGCATAAGACTATACAGTACCTACTTGCAAGCTTGTGATCGACAATATTGACAGCACTAGCTTGCCAAAATGTGTTGTGGTGACCTCCATTCACTAGAGTTGTACAATTCGGCGATTTAACTTACTGCGAAAAAGAAACTAAAATTTCGATTTGTGTGGTACGCCTTGTAATACGTACATACATGGTGGCCGCATGAACGCCTGAGATCTGTGTAAGTACTGTAACATACATCTTGTGTGGAAGTAACTCAATTTCGATATGTAGGGATTGCTTCCTGTGTACTAACTTAGATTTATTTTTAATAGAATATACTTTATATACTATTAGGATACAGCAGGTGCAATCTATCTTTCTCATTTAAAGATGTAATTTATTCAAATCTATGGTTTAACTTAGCCCCTCGCCCTCGCCCTCTCGCCCTCTTGTCCTGTTGCCCTGCCCTTGCTGCCCTCGCTGCCCACAATCTTGCCCTCTTTCTGACCTTTCGTCCCCCTAAATCACTCCAATTAGTTTGCAGTTTTGCAGAGATCACTAGTAGGGGGGACATGCATTGGAGGGGAGTCTAAGGGCGAGGGCAGGAGGGGGGAGTGGGAGTGGTGCGGGGGAAGTAGCCCCGTCCCCAGCGGGGGAAGGGGGATGTGAAGGAAAGAGGGAAAGAAGATACGAGGATAGGAGGAAGTGGGGAGTAAGAGGCCAAGGCAGGGTTGGCGAGGACAAGCGAAGGACATGTGTTGGAGCAGACAGCTCGCTAGCCCCGAACAGCCCGCGAAATTTAAGTTTAGTGGGGCGTCCGCGATCGCGAGCTATGGTCAAAATATTTGCGACAAGCCGGTTGACCAGTATCAGGAGTGCGTTTCAAAGCCAGGATTGGTGTTGACTTTCTGAAAGCCTCCAGCCTGTCGAGGAGTCCCGCCGACCTCGAGGTATCCGACATGCAGGCCATCATGACTGGTCCTCTTGATGTATGAGAGTGAGGGCATTGATAATTAGATTTTATGAGCTTAATTAGTCTCTTCGCATGGAAATACGACGCAAATCATCAGGCCTGTATAGTGCGACAAATGTGTCAAGTAAACTCCGTCAAAAGAATTCTTCGTACGGAGAATCCTTCTGATTTTACGGGGTTTTCGTGAGCCCCGTACGGAGTAATTTTTTTGTTAACTTTTGTATGGGGTTACCATACAAAAAATAACTTGCTCAAATTCCCTACGGGGTTGACCAAAATCACTCACGGGGTTTTTTCAAGCTTCGTACGGAGATTCCTGATTTTGAGGTGTAACGCACTGCTCTCAATGATTTTGTGCTGAATGTCACCATGATTGAGCATAATTGAGATAAATTTCTTATTTCAGATACTTAGTGGTGTCAGCTCTCTGAATCTAAGATTTTTAAATTCAAAGTAACGGGGTATTTGGGACGGGGTTTACTTGACACACCTGCCTCACCATAGGCCTGCCACACGTCGAAATGAGGAAAACGTTTGCGGGGTCGGTACCAGGTGCACCACGAAAAGCTATTTATACTCCCCTCCTCCGTGAAGATTCCGGAATAATTCTACACACACCACATTAACCAAGTTTTTTCCAAGAGATAGACTAATAGACACAATCCATCCTTAAGCTTTAACCCGCACAGCTCAACGGAAGTAATGCGCACAAGTACTGGATCTAAAGCATTCTACAATTCTTAGCAAAATATCTTAAACGCACCATTTTCACTACAGCCATCATGCCAACCACCGGTGTCCAGGAGAACAAACGAGCGTCGATCTTCACAGTCGGCAAAGTTACATAACAATCAAAGCCGAATGAATAATTAATGTGCTTACCCTGAACTTCGGATTCCTTGTGATGAATTCGAATATGCATATGCTATCCAATGAAATTCCGGTTCTTACTCTCGAGTGGTGGACTGTGTGCCCACAGCTAGCCAAGCTGCTCAACAGACACGCCAGTCAAATTAAAGCGTACACGCCAAATTTCAAGAGGGGTTCTTATGATTGAAGGGGGTTCTTCTTCTCGAGCTACGACGGTCTATAGGCCTAGGAAATAAAAAAAAAAAATGAAAAAGAAGAGTTCGAATAGATGAGAGCGTGAGCACCTCGATTTATCCGAGCTAAGCCCGATGCAAGAATCGAACTTGCGGTCCTCAGGTACCCTGAGGGACAAGCTGAATGCTCTACCACTGAGCCAATCGGGCTGGTTGTTGTTGGCAAGCTTTGCTTTCTGGAACAATACTGCCCTCCTTGTTTAACTCTGGAATAAAAGAGGAAGTAGATCTAGACTTACCCTGCGGCAATTTCCCACCAATACTTGGAAAGAATGCCACTTCCTAATCCGGAAGCACCATGCTCTTCGCAAGAGGGCACGAGTCTACGCAAGAGAAAATCTGCCCAAGTGGTTTGAGGGCTTCACGGCGCGGATACCTTCCACTTCTGCGAGACTAAAGCAGCCACACGCGCATGTACGCACAAGAACTCTTCCTCAATAACGAAAATGCTTACAAAAACACAATGCAACGCGAAGAAGGCACCCCCACTGCTACCACCCCACACCATGTCCAGCGGAGCTTCCTGAGGCGCTTTCCCTTTGGCCCCCTGGCAGCAATTATCGCATTCCTCCTCGCAATATTTTCAGCTCCGTACACCCTGTCCCTAGTCCGGACGTCCAAGATGCGAATACGGGAGAGCTGCCTTGGATATACATGTCGCCTAAAGTAGCGCTCTCGCTATTCACGCTCCTGATCACTAGCATGCTCCACTCATGATCTCTGAAGGCCCGGCTATAACCTGGTGGACCATTGCACGGGGGGGTGCGACGCTGGGGGAACTGCAGCGGCAGTGGGAGGTCCAAAGTCTCTTTGGGGTGCTCAACAGCCTTCGAGGGGAAGGGACGGGAGGCTGGCGTTTGCGACATTAGCAGTGACTGCGGTTGCTGCTTCTGGCGCGCTGTTCCAGAATTCCGTGAAGCCGAATGCACTGGGGATGCCACTAGAAACCACCGAGATCACCGTTCGCGTTGCAGACAGTCTTCCACGCGGATGGACTGGTAACCCAAACAGCTTCCTTTCGTATAATCTCACCTCGATCGTGAGGGAGGCTGTTCAAGCACAGAACATCTATCTTGTCGAGAGCGTCAACGGGACTGAGCGGACCGGAGGGTGTCCGAATGGAGGAACTTGCGTGATGATATTGAAAGGTGTCGCGTTGGCATGGGAAGGGGAATGGGGGGACTATAATGCAACCGAGCGAGTTGAGGATGTCCCTGACTACGACTCAATATTTAGATCTACCCCAGCCAGATTTATGGTGCAGGGCTGGACACTTGGGTTCCTCGTCAGTTTCTCGGCACCGCCGCCGGAGGATGTGGGGAAGTATCTCATGAGGCTGGATATCATCAACAAAATCGAAGCCGGTTGTGAAAGTATCCTATGGCACAGAATTATTCGGCTGAAGCCAGCAGTCATATCATACGTCGTGAACGTCGAGAAAACCACCCAGCGCGAGAAAAGATACGACCAGGGCGGCATGTCCGGACCGCACTACTACGTTGGCGGTGGGTCTCTCCGCACAAGCCTCCTTCCAGATTACTACATCAACCCTACCCCGTGGTATGAGCAACTCGGCTTTTCCGAAGACATTACCGAAGATGGTGAAAGTGAAGAGTGGACAACGTATGGGGGATTAACCACCGCGCTCAGCAATATATTCACCTCTTATACCCGGTACAATCCTGGCCCCCCCAACGGAACTGTAGGTTCCAACGGAGCCCAGCCTTTCCAACTTGATAGCTTCGGCATGCTTACGCAAGAATATTATGAAGTCGGGGATGGTACACAGCCGATCAAAGATGCATGTGATGCATATTGGTATAGCCCCAGCTTCGAAATCATCGACTCCAGCAACCGTGTAATATTCCGCTCGGCAATTTACGCTGCAATAAATGCCCTCACTACCTCCACAGAAACCGTCATTACCGCCGCAATGAACGAGATTCTCCCCGCTTATCTCCACTTTGCTATTGCGTCATCAATCATTTCCATCATTGCAATCTTATTCATTTTACCGACATTTTGGGGTTGGTGGAGGTTGGATAGGAAGTATACCCACAGTCCGGTGGAAGTGGCAGAGACGTTCTTCATAAACTCAATGCAACCGGATGCACAATGGAGAATTTTTGGGCCAGGGAGTCATGGATGGGAAGTTACGGAGATGTTGGATAAAATTGGCCCTACTAAAGTGAGGTATCAAAAGTTGCCGGATGGGACATGGATGATGGAGAAGGAGGATTGATATCGCCGATGATAATGATGATAATTGCTGCGAGGGGGCCAAAGGGAAAGCGCCTCAGGAAGCTCCACCGGACGTGGTGTGGGGTGGTAGCAGTGGGGGTGCATTCTTCGTGGACTGTTTGGACGGCGCCTGTTTCGATCCCTTTGCAGTCGGCCATTGCGTGCACTGCTCGGTCGATACGGGCTTTCTGCTGTTGAATACATCTTGCGACACACCCACGGGAAATATTCGTTCCCAGTGGGAGTGGGCCAGCATTTATATCCAACCCGTGAGACATCATTAAAGCGCCAACCCATGGAGAATCATATTTCCTGTACTCTGCCTACCTATGTATACTCTAACAGGCAGTGCAAGACTCAATGTGGGATTCAGCCCCCACTTTGATGCATCCGAGAGATATTTCGTGGGTGGAAAGGACCAGGCATGCAGAGTTAGCCTCGCCCCAGTCTCGGAACCCAGGGCCAAATGTACGAGTAACTTGGATTACTGTTCTGTTATCAACTCACCGGGGAGTTGTCGTGTGGGTATGTGTCACATTCGAAAAGGGACCATGTCCTATTAAGAATAGACAGTCCAATTTTTGAGCCGCCATGCATGCACGTATTTTAAGCCATTCCGTTCTCAAATATTTATGTACAACATGATTCGCTGCTTAAGTCGTTGTGCGTCTGCCAGTGGTTGGCCGGGAGACGCAATGCTTGCAGCATGCAGGGTTTTCGGAATGGTAACTCCAATACCCATATGTGCGTCACAACCACAGTATCTGTGTGTGCAAGTGAGCGAACAACGAATTAGAGGAATACCGCTGAGGCTTATTTACATGGCATGGCAAGGGTATGTGTTTTTAGTGCTATTGGTTCTGTGAGCTTAAGCTGTCTACAAACTTGATAGTCTCCTGCCCCGCTTTGTGGCTTTTGGTTCACAATAAAGGACTATTAATACATTCAACGAAGCTCCTATATAGGGATGATTCGACTTCAACAACAGTCGAATATACGAGTTTATAACTAGGATCATGTTGCTGAAATTCCCGAGAAAAGTGATCTTAAGTGTGATATCGTAACTGGCTCCCAACTCAACACTTCTACTTACTTATTGCAATACTTAATTAATATTTTCAGACCGTGGCTGGGGAAGGCTGAGTTTTCAATTCTTTTGCGCCTATTTCTTTAATTTCACGGTCAATCCACATAATATAAATGTGAATTCGGTGGCCCCTTTGAACTTACGGAATATCTATTCGATAAGGAGCTGCTAATTGTAATTATAAGCTTCCTTGGACATCCAGACTAATCTTATAAAGCGGATGGCCGGAGCCGGACTTGAAATATCTGTACATGGTTACTCCATAGATTCGGATATCCCTTATTCTGGTGCATGCTGAAGCGTACGATCGTTAACGCCTGGACCTAATAAGGGCCCATATTAATCAAATCACTAAACATTTATACAATTAGGAAAAGTGCGCGTGCGCGTGGCCTTCCGAATATTGCGACTGTTTGAGAGTACTCCCGGTAGCAGTTGTCGTCGTGCCGCGGTGGTCAACGTCGTCGCAATAAGGTTTAAACACATGCAAGCGAGCGAGCGAGCCCATGTGAATTGTCGAAGCTTGCCGACTGGCATACTAACCCTTGATTCTTGGTTCCGCGGATCCGATTGCCTTGACTTTTCGGTGGTTACGTACGGATTCAAGCTCGAGCCCACATGGCGACCTGTACCCACTGTGTTTGTTCTAAAAGTATGCTGACTTTCAAAGTCTCTCGAAGTAGTGGTGGAATTCGTAATCTTTCCCATGGCCCACCCAACAATGAAATAAACTTTCAGCCGCATGCCACCTCCCCTGCAAGTGCGAATTTTTAACCCTGCATGCATGCTCATGTGTGCATGCAGAGGCATGGGACTCGAGTTCGGTGAGAGTACCACCCTGTCTCACCTGCCTTGGCGCATGATGGCGAAATTCGTGAGGGTTTTTGGTTTGTCTACCTATACGAACCGATTTTTCGGAGTGAGATTGAATCGATTCAAGTTTAAGAATAATAGTTTTAACTCGCCGAATGTGATCTTTGGTAATTTGATATTTGGTAAACGTTTGTGAAAGGAGTGTTATGAGATTGAACTGTGACCTATACTAAAAGCATATGGGCAGGATATTCTGAAATGATATCGATATCTATGCATGTATGTTTCAGCCTAATTGGTAATGGATTTAAAAGTATCCGTTTTAATCACAGAATGTCAACACTTCTTTTTTTCCAACTGCTCTTCCGCAGCTTGATCTACGTAAAAATCCAATGCCATTTTCAGTGCCTGACTTGCCACACTGCCTTCGAACAATGGACTTTGAATGTGTAGCCCCACTTGCTAATAGTCGAATTCACTTATCATGCATGTATCATCACTTCACAGAGCCGATTCAGAGCCAGCGCCGGCGCCATGATATCGATATCAAGACATCCGAGTACAGACCTAGAACACATCCATCTCGTAGTATGCAATGATAAATGATAATTCCAGTGCCAGAAAGACGAAGAACTTTACTGTATCTTTGCCTCAACTCCTGCGTGTTAGGGTATATGAGCGAGCCATCTTCACAATTGCAATTTTTGGGGACGCTCGAGGTGGGAGGGGGGGGCTCGGTGGGGCGATTTGTTACCCTGAAGTCTGACACCCGGAAGTCTGAGCTTATCCTGAACTATGGTTACCCTGAACTACACCTGGAAGGTCTTGTACCTTGAACTCTTGTGCTTAAGCTGGGGATGGCGTATAGGTATTGCTGATCACTTCGATAAGCATCCACTTACACATACAGCAGCTGGTGGCAGAGGCTACCTACCGATTGCTGATCATCGTTGATGGCCACAAAATCGCACATGTCACCATGGCAAGTGGTGCAGCATTGCCTTGCCTC